TATATATATATATATATATATATTGTTGTTCTATTTTTTCTGCTCTTTGAAAGAATTATATAGACACTGGAAAGAGAGAAGGATAGAATTATATGTAAAGTTTTAGGAAGAAAAAATATTATAAACCGTTGTATTGTGTGATATTTATTAAAAATGTATTCACATTAAAAAATAGAGGCATATAGGGTACATCTTACGGTAATATTACATTAATTATCCATCATTGTTTTTTCATGGAGGCTTTTTTACTCCATATCTCTGTGTGAGTAAATACGCACTTTTTTTAAAATGCTGTACACATTGCGTTGCGTTCCGGAAAGGATTGTATTTCGACGATATCGGTATGTTTTAACACGAATTTTTTTCTCGCGAAACAAACTTTCGGGTATTATTACAACTTGTGCGTGTATTGATCACGACGATCATGTTTCCCTAAAATTCACGAAATACAACGTGGCATACAATAAAGAAAGCACCAATTGACGTATCAATTATTTCGAGCAAGCAATCAAGCCCATAATTTATCTCACGATTTTAGCAGAGAGACGACTTATTAAAAATAAATATAAATAGAAAAAATCGAAGTGCATCATCGATTTGTAGTTGTAAATAAATTCTATTTTGAAATATATTTGAAAAACTATATAGATCACTTTGGCACCATGCTTGAACTTTTCTTATCGCGAAAGTCAAACACATGATACAAAATGAAATTGTTTTAAACAATATCAATGCAATTAAATATTTAAACCTTAGAGGAAGAACAATCGTAAAACATTAATTTAGAACGATAGAAAGAGGTAGAAAGAGTGACAGACGGAGAGAGAAAGAGAGAGAGAGAGAGAGAGAGAGAGAGAGAGAGAAATTTTAGTTAAAAAAAATAACAACTGTACATTTCATTTAATTTCCGCTATCAGTCTTCCCGGGTATTTCTACGTGTTTTTATTTTATAAATGTCTTAAAAAAATACAAGACTCGCGATACGTCACATGTACACGTCTGCAATTTGATTACGTCAAATGATCATGTCAAATTTCGCCAGGCGATACTTCTTTACACTTACGGGTACAAATATGGAAATGTGTATACAACGTTACGCTATTGAGGCCAGAGTATTGTTCTATTATGTTTATGCTCATATGTATGTATAGTTCTTGCGCGACTCATCGCACGATCCTGCTAGACCAGAGATTCTCATGAGATCTATCCACGCGCGATGATATCGTATGTCTCACGCATGGATTAAGATATCAACCATCACTTCGTAATGTAACATATAATATAATATATAAAATATATAACATATAAAAGAACACCATTAAATTCTTCGTAAATGCTTTCTCTTTTACATTTAAAATTAGATTATAATAAATTGTGCTCTCTTCTGTTTTTATAAATTTCTTTTCTTCTTTTCTTCTCTAAAATAAATTCTCTGCTTCTTTTTAAATAGATTCTTTTCCCTTCCATTAGAATAAAATGAAAACGACAAACTTTCAGAATCACAACGAAATTCAGACTTAAAGTAAACTTAATGTGAGATTGCGATGGGAAAATTTTACGCGAAGACTGAACGTGTGGCAACGACACCAGGTCAACCGTTCAATCAGTCCCGCTGAATACGAGAACCTCCAGGTTGTCGAAACGCGACCTATGCCTCATGCACTCACAACATATATTATTCTAGTGCAACACCGATAACTACGATCTATAAATGCGTGGTTATCTATCGGATAATCCGCGTTTGAGCTCGCGAATGTTCTGAGGTACTGGATGTTTCGCTCTTATCTGGGATACGATAGGGCGAAGGGTTACCACTCGGAGGATTGCCCGGACGAATCGTGTCTCGTGACTGCACGATATCGTCGCGTGGCGATATGATCACCGTAGGTTTACCAAAAAATCGTAACGACCGCAGTAGCGACGTAGCACGCCGCCACCTTGATCCAAACGCGAGTCGACCGCAATACGCGGGTTACCTGTACACAACACCCACTCGGTGGCTGGGACCGACATACAGGCCGTCATCAAGGTGAACTATCAAAATGCATCAACTTCGGGGGTATCGGTAGAACGTCGGGAAATGCAGCAGGAACACATTACTCAAGCATCCCACGCCCATCGACCGTCGAACAACAATGAACAGTCAACGCGAAGATCACGCGTATCATACGTCGAGGGCGAACGGCGACGTCGGAGAGTTTTTTTGCTTTTTCCTTTTTTTTCCTTAAATCTTACTTTCCACGAGGTGAGGAAACTTGACGTGTCGTCTTCCGCCGCGGAACCTTCTTCGGGAAATATTTCTCGTTTGTGCGGAGGGAGTATCGACTCTCACACGTCGATGCCGAGCAGCTCCCGGCTGTCGGCCTTCGAAAGTCGACAACGTAAACTGCGACGACGGAACTCCCTCCATCAGACGGATGCTCGCTTCATGCGGAGGCTGGCGGAGGTCGAGGGCGGTCGGTAACCTTGATACCCGGATGGATCCAGCAGCTCGGAATTCGCCGGACCGAGGCAGGTGCAGGAGCACACGCTCACGCAGTCCTCCGTGTCGTGGACGATCGGCTCGTGTCCGGCTAGGAGCTTGCCGTTCACCGCCACGACCTCACCGTCCAGCGTCAGGACGTGCTGCGAGGCGGACTGCATCTCGTTGTCCTCGCGACGCGCCTCACCGGTGTTCCTGTCTCCGGAAAATTGTTTCTTTCACTCGCTTACCAATAAATCCTAAACTCTTCTCGATATAAAGAAGATGAAAAGGAAACGGACGTAGATATACTGAGTAAAGAATGAAATTATTAGAAATAGCATATATTAGAAATTAAAGGAAGGAAGAGAGAGAGAGAGAGAGAAAGAGAGAAAATACACGAAGAAAAGTAATTTTGCTGTTGTAACGAAACCACAGCATTGCTATTGCATTCGTTGCGACAGCCATGAAATTTAGTTAGCATAACGAAATTAGCGAATTATTCGTAAAGTGGGTGCAGTTTTGTTGCCAAGGTAACGGTCATGTAATTTTGTTTTCCCTAGAGAGGAAGCGTGAAAAATGAAAAGGGAAATGTTTTTAAATTAGAAAATTTACACTTTTCACGAGTTCACGTCAGAGAAGAAGATTCATGATCCCCTGGGGGTCGATCATGAATCTTCTTTCTCTAGCGTAAACTTGTGCAAATTTTCTAAATTTTTGAAAACATTTCACTCTTCACGTTTCCGCCTCAGGGAAAGAGTTACGTGGTCGATACCCAGGATGTTCCACTGAGTAAACTTGTCCATAAGACACGTTAATTTGCCGCTAGAACAGGTGTTTCTCCACGTTAACTAATCTGTTCTTACAGCAAAAAAACGTAAGTTCAGCAATGTAATCTAGCGAATGGCAATTAATATTCCTAACAAATCGTTTTGTCCTTCATATAGTAACCAATCAGAATTTTCTATTGTTTCCTTCCACGAAACAATCAAATTTGCTGTGCCGGCAAGTGACTTTTCTCCGTGTAGTCACTGCAAAAAGATATATTCACATCGTCATGAAGCGCAGCACGAGCAGATTGATACTGGCAGCGACCACGGCCAAGCCGAAGAGGATGAAGACCAGACTCAAGGCCACGTACCCGGGTTTATTGGAAAGCGCATGGTCGTTCTGCAAGCAAAGCGATCAAGCCTCTTTTCGAGATTGATCACGACTTCCTCTAATGTTTCCGGTGAACCCCGTCGTGAATGTTACCCACCTGAAGAGCGACGAAGTCTCCGAAACCTATGGTGGTGAGCGTCACGAAGCAGTAATAGAAGCTGTCGAAGTAGCTCCAGCCCTCGTATCGCGAGAACACCGCGGCGCCCGTTGTGATGATTATGCTCGAGAGCAAACCGGTCGCCAACATGAGATTCATCTCGGTGGCCTCGGTCTTCTGGCACCTGAGATACGTCTTCGCCCGCCTGATCACGACCGACGCGAATTTGTTCAGTCGCTCGCCGATGCTCTGGAACATCACCAGCCCCAACGGAATTCCCACCATCGCGTACGCCATGCAGAACGCCTTTCCACCGATGGTCACTGGCGTGGAGTGTCCGTAACCTTGCAGAAAATTGCGTCCAAGTCTTATGAAGTCGAGGATCTTGCCAACGTACGATTCGCGAAACGTTCCGAACGACGTGACATCTTTCCCGTGATGTCGCACGGAGAAAAATAAGTTTGCTGTTGCAGCGAAACCATCATTGCTACCGCATGTTTGTCGCGACAGCGATAAAATTTCGTTGGCATAACCAAATTAGTGAATTATTTATCGCAATTAGGGCGGAAATAGTTTTCTTGCCGGAATCGGAAAATTCCGTCGCGGGTAAATCTGTCTTTGGAATACGCTAATTTGCTCTTAAAACAATATCATGTTTTCCCACAAATAACGTTTCGCTCATTTGTTCTTGCAGCAAAATAATTTATAGATCATTTCAATTGAAAATAAAATGCCAACTGCCAACGAATGGCAATTGGTACTCTTAACAGATCGTTTTGCTGCTCGCATAGTAACCGACAGATTTTACTGCAACATTAAAATAAAATTTACTGACACAGCAAATGATTTTTCTAACGACGAACGCATAGAACTCACGGGTTGCCGTAATGTACACAAGATAATGTTGCGTGACTAAAAGAAGTGCAAAGTTAAATCGAACTAAATTTTGGGCAATTTTAAAAAATCAAGAAGCTAAGTTAAATTAAAATTGAACGTAACTATCGTGCTTCCTCGTGTTTCTTTTACATTGTGATCCTTTTAAGTTCGCGCGAGCGCAACTCACCGATCATGGCTAATACTAAAGTGGCAAAATAGAAGGCACCCGCGAACTTCCACTGCGGCCCCGCTTTGTGCGGCTTGTTCTCGATGATCACGATCTCGACCATCTTGTAATCCTCCGGCGTGATGTTGTACTTTTTCATCATGTTCCGGCGGATCTCTGCAACGGCATTTCCCGCGCGCACGCGGCGGAAATAATTAATCGTCGATTATCGATCGCGCCCAGTGCGCGTAAAAATATCGCCAGGCGTTAAAATACGCCGTCGTCGTCGGAGGTGGTGCGGGCTACCGTACTCACCGGAGAGGAATTCCCAGCGTTTCTTCTCGGTGTCGGATTCGAGGGCGTCAAACACCGCGGCGCCTACCAAGAGATACGTGAACGTGCACACTACCAGCGACAGAGTCCTGACATTCTGCCTCTTCATCTTCGTTGTTTCGTCCCCGCGAGCAGCGAACACGCGCGCCTCTCCTCTCGGCGCGCTACACGATGAAAAATTCAACGACGACGCTCTCAACGAGTACGTCGAGACTTGCAGACCCGACAGCAACGTGCCTCGCGGCGCGCCGCATTTATACGGAAGCAGGACGGAGAACGACCCGCGCGCGAAACACAGCCCCCGCGGCGCGCGTAAATAAATATCTAGCTCGCGCCGGACGTGCGAACGCCGATGCGGCACCCTCTCATCTTCGCGACGACGATATCGATTTATTATACGGCATGTTAGAGAGATGGAACACTCGTCTGGGATGTCGGAACACCACGAGAGCGTGCACGATACTCGCGAGAGACCACGATCGCTACACGCTGCTACCCGCCCCGAGTATTGATCGCGCGCCGACGAGGGCTGGTCCATGAGAAGGCGCTGCCTGTTCATCTCTCTCTCCGTAGGTACGCACGGCGGTAACCAGAGTTGGGTAAATTAATTTTCAACTTTATTTAAGTTGAAAGCTAACAGCCTATAAAATTAATTCAATTAGGTTACAAGTTACCTAAACTAAGATTAACTTTGTGAAAAATTTAGTTATTATTATTGAAATAACTTATTATTAAAGGTTAGTTATAGGCAAAGCCGTAATATATGCTTTAATATATGCCGTGATACGTGTGCATATATATACACGCTTTTTTGCACAATTAACTTTTTCATCGTGGATTAAATTAACACTGAATAAAGAAAAGGTAGTTTATTATGAGAAGGTACCGGCTATCTTGTGCCGAGGATTCTATACAAAAAACGAACACTAGCGCTCAGAAAGACGTAAGAAAATGTTGCTCGCATTGTTTGGAATTTTTCTTATTTTATATCGCAAGCAGTACAGGTTTTAATATTGACGAATTATTTTGACTTATGTAATAAAGATAATAAGTTCAAGTTAATGCATTTGAAATTAACTGATTTAAGTTGAAAGTTAATTCGTTTAATATTAATTGAGTTAAATAAAAAATTGTTAACTTTTAACTTAACTTTTAGCTGAGTAATTAATTATTGCTCAATCTTATGACGATAACCATGGCGACGGTGCACGTCCGAGTGGTAAGCGAGACGTGGCGCAGTAGTGCGAAGCGCTTTCGGAACGACAGTAGTTACATCCGTCGTGCCTGCGGGCCATCCGTCGGCCGAAACGCAGTATCGATCGTATTCGCGCGTCGAATCTACCGCTGATAACTCGGAGAGCTGCCAGCGCGTCTCCGCGAATTTGTCGGGTCGCTCGAGACCTTCGGAAGGAGTCGTTCGTTGTTTTTTGCTATTCTTTATGGAGAGTTTACGCGATTGAAACCGCGTCGTCGTGTGTATTTGCAGAATTTGCTCGTGAACGATATCGAAGAGATGTTTATCGGTCTTAGAGTCGAGCTCTTTTACATGAAGAACAGTCTGGTCATTGTCAAGAAACGTGATTCACCGGGCGCGGTACGCATCCGCCCCCACGCGAAAACGTGACTTTGCGCGAAAATACGCGGTGAAACGGCGCGAACGGAAGTCGCACGCGAAAATAAAACGTCACTGCGAGTCTACGTAGGTTGCAGTCTCCGTTTCAATAATTCATTGTCTATTCCCTCCCCCTCGCTATTTGTTGACGACGGTGATAATGTGTACCTGTATCGTGGCATATCGCTAGGTTCCTTTGAAAAATTTTATATGCCATCCAATCGGTAAAGTAATTGGTTTTGTTAAACATTTCTAGGTGGATTCTCACGGTAATCCAACGGAACCCATGTGAATTTATATAGGATATGAAAAGTCCATGTAGGGATCCACACATGGCGTGTGAAAATTCATATAGGAATCAATATAGATTGTTATCTAAGACCTGGGTTTTTGACGCAAATCCCCAGAGGCAACCGTGGAATTCCATATGGATTTCCTATATGGATTTCAGCTATTTTTTTTCTTTTCAACAAGAGGACAACTGACTCGAAACTGAGAAAAAAGAGAACGAGTGACGATGACGTGCGACGCCTGTTGGCGGTAGGAAAAGAAATTATGTGGATATAAACATTGTTAGTTTACCATAAGGTCAGACCAGATTGGAAAATGTTATTCTTTCTAATAATATTATGATTAAAATTTAATCATCCGTTTGTGGCGGCAAAGAGGATACGAAGTTTTCCATGAAAATTTAAAATCTCTCCTTTTTTCTCTCGCTAGGTAAATAGTATTTTTCCGCTAGTAAAAATATTTCCGGAGCGTAAAAAGTCTCATGAATGTAACAGATCTTGCATTACTCTTTCGAAGTTGTTTTGAGGAATTGCGCGTGGTAACGCAATTTTGTGGTGCTCGATATACCGAGATTACGCAACGATGACAGATATTCCGTTCACGACTATTGCACCCTCCGTTTTCGCAAACTCCCGAGCTGGGGCGAAAAAGATTCCCCTATTTCGGAATCTGAGAATTATTACATCATATCATATCCGAGTTATTACATTACATCGACAAGAGAGAAATCCTGTTTAGGGGAGTTCGAGTTATTACATCATATCATATTTCTGTGAGTTATTATATCGGATCGGCAACGGTGAAAGATCTTCCAGATCGTGCATTACTTTTCTTCGAGCTTTCTTGGAAAAGTTTCATGGGCTACAATCGCTACCGTATTACACACAAGAAATATCAGTGAGGAATTAAGACTTACATGCGTTGGAGGTTCTTAGAAATTCTGCAGATTAAAAGTATTTCGGAACTTTATGCAATTCTCGTTATTACGTGCGTCAGCTTGTAGAAAAGTAGCAAAGACGAAAGAAAGTAAAAAGTAAAAAAAGCACAACTCGTTGAATATCACACTGAGAGAAAAAAATATTTGATATTTGTAACTATAATCATCGTAGTGAATTATTGTTAAGAGAACTATTTTTCTAGTAAATGTTATTATAGAATATTATAAAGTCGGGTTAGGCAATCATCGATCAATGAATCGACGTTCGATTCTTTTTTCATTTAAAAAATCGATTGTTTTGTCGATGTTTTTGAAACCGATTATTCCCTATGTCAAGAGTTTTTTTTGTTTCGATGTTACTAAATTTTATTACTAAAAATTTTAATATCTTCACCAGTCTTAAATATAGGATATATACTGATGTATATAGTCAAAATTATCCATTTACAATTGAGTATTTTTTTAAATAGTATTCTTAAATTTATTTGATATATTAACATTCTTGATATTATTGACCAAAAAGACCATAAACGAATTGGCTTTAAATTGCAAAGACTGTAAAAGCAGAAATAATAATAGCTAGAATAATAAAACATAATTGCAATGGGAACAGTCTACATCACTCCGCGTAATTATCGGCCCTCGTCATCTCGATTCCTCGTATCCATTACAATAAATATTTCATTCCTTTCACCCTTTATGCTTTTTCCCCGCCACAATGTGCTCCGTCTATATATTCTTACGTGCATGATACTTCCAATATAAAAGATGTCATATTTCCTTGTATAACTTATTAAGTTATTATTTGCTTGGGGTCTGTTTCTTGTTTCTGCACTGACTGTATTAACTTAGACTAATTCATTTTTCATCTCTTTCTTGAGATTTTATGGAAAGAGAGGAAAAGAGTACTGGTGCAAATAGTTTGTCAAAAATACAGAAATTAATCGATTATTTTCGATGTTTATAAGAAAAAATCGATTGTACAAAATCGATATTTTTGACCATCGATTATTTGGCAGACGACGCTTTCTTTGCCAATGCCGATCCCTACTATAGAGTGTCAGTGATAACAACCTTACATGCACATTGCTATTATTATTTTTATAATTGAACCATAAAAAATGATTAGTTGAGGCTGAAAGTAAATAAGTTATATCATAGTAATTTATCTCAATATCGAATATTTCATTGTGTTCAAATAATAACGGAAGGAAGTTTGATTGAATTCACATATGACAATGAACAAACCAAGCGCGTATTGGAGGAAACCTGAATGTATTGGGAGTACAAATTAGTTCATAATAATAAAGAATCCCGTTTCATTCACCAAAATGCGTTCGTCGCGTTAATTCGACCAAACTTTTTTTTCCGCGTACAAATATCGCTGAGAAGGCACATCGAATAGTCCCTTCGTGCGCACACGACGATTCAAAATGACGGTGCTATTTCACAGGGCGCGAGCATGCTAATGCAAAAGTTATCAGTGGCACGTGACTCTCTACGACGGCAGTTGTACGACGTCGTTATTCATCCTATCCGATCCCCCCGCGTTGATCTACGCGCGCGAACGCGCTTTCGAACTTTTTCCCGACCGTAAATTTCCGACCTCCCGATGTGCGACCGTTCGACGTCGTCTCTCCTAGCCAAGCCCCGATTGCGGAACTTGGGAGAAGTTATCCGACGTGACATGTCCCGCGGGAACACGTCTCGATAAGCGCGATACGCACGAAGGGGTGCATCGAACGCGCGCGCGTCGACTATTTGCATGCTGATGGATGCGCTACCGATCCCGTTAGCGAGTCGCATCGATAACGGACAACGACTCATATCGCTGCCAATAAACGCGGGCTGGAATGCGAGGAAATTGCCGTCTTCTTTGCGTGTGTATGTTTGCACGCTTGCGACCATGGTTAAAGGCGTTACCCTATTTGTTAAGGAAAACTGCGCTTTTCGATTTACGTCAGTGTTTGCCTTGAGCGCGCTCCGGGTATCTTTATCTCGGGTCCCTTTCGATTCGCGCGTATCGTAATAAGCGGCGTAATAAAAGTGAGCTCAAAAGGGATCTAATATCGGTTACGTCAGCAAGCAAAGTCACAGAACTGTTTCATTAGATGTGTCTATGTAATGACGCAATGAAGAGCCAACGGAGAAAGAAGATGGAAAGAGGTAAAAAAAAAAGGGGGAGGGAGAATTACGCCTCGTATTTTTGCGACGAACGGAAATAGCCGTCGGCTGCCCTGGCGCTGAAGACAGGGCTTCTTGTAACAAGAGAGGGCGGGGAGAGGGGGAAGGGTGTCATATTTCAACAGCGATCCGTGCAAACGTTTGGCGAGGAGAGTAGCCCGGTGTGTGTTGAAATTACCCGCCGCGTGTCTGTAAGTGCAGATATTTCGCGTTTCGACCGGCGGAAAGGAAGATGCAAGCGTGAGTCATTTCGACGGAAACACAACTGACGCGCCGATAAACGTACCGCGCGATATCTGCGTCGGCTCCGAGTATCGATCATGCGACTTTTACCTCAGGGAGGAAGTGAAAAGTGAAGTTTCACGTGAACTCATGATCGCGTAACTCAGCGACGCATGGAAACATGAAACTTTTCATGTGAACTTTCTCGCCATCAAACTTGCTCCGGCGGAAAGGTGAAAAATCTAGACATGTGACTGACTGGCGCAAAATATAATGTTGCTACGCCGCTGAGACGCGAGAAACGTAACATTTCTAAGATCATAGCGCTACTTTAAGATTGGATGTTGGTTAGATGTTCTAACGACAGGCTCGTTTCGATTTTACACCATTAACCATGACTAACGATTTTAATTTTTTCACATTCAGAGTTACATGACTAATAATGAAAAAGTTTACGCGGAATCGGTAGAACGGATCTTGTAGTTTGGATCTTGTGTCGACCCCTCTATCCTCTATCACAAAATACCGTTGAAATTACCGGTGTTTGATTTTCCTCGATTTTTCTTATTTGTTTAAGATGGTCGGAAAGAAAAAGTCGGGGGACTCCTTTTCATATAATAAAAAATATACAAGATTAAAAATAACATGTGAGGATATAATAAATGTACAAAATAATGTATAAGTTTGGTGCTTTTAATTTTTTTTTTATAATTTTCTATAATACGGGTATGTCTGTTTTGGTGCCCAGTTTCTAGAAACGTCAATTTTCAAACATCTTAAAATATAATTATTTGCAAGAAAATATATAATAATTTGCATAAAACTCACATATTTTCATAAAAGTATTGCTGGTTCGGATCCATGTATATAATTTTAATTTTACACTTCCAACAAGGATTCATGACAGAAGCTAAAAACAAAATAGTATATCGATTTCGGTGCTTTCCCTCTAATGATTTTTCTTCATTTTAACGCTCTTAAAGGGTTCAGCCCTGGAGCGACAAAACACACACATTTATCTACCATCAATTCCGTACTGTCGCTACCTGCCAATATATCAATAACATTCAGTATCCGAGAGATTCGGGCAATCAAAACGTTGTGTCATGTTTTTGAAAACATTGGATGATGCATGTAACGTGGCGAACGTCTAAAAAATTATCCACGGCGGTTAGTTAAGGTCAAACGTAAAGCTTTGCTCGGAGACAGCTCTCAGAATGAAAGTGCTAGGGAACAACTGACAAATAGCCCTCTTAGAAGGATACACCCGCTTCGTTCCGACCTCTGTCTACCTTCCCGCTGAGTTGTTGACGAACGACCAGGTCGCAAAAAAAGGGATGATGAAAGG